GGCCAATCAGGAGCCGGCCGCCTTCCCTCATAGCCAGTCCTGCCATCCTCTCCTAAAGCTCTTATCCTCAGCTCCTCACGTATCTGCAACACCCAGAGACCCAATAACTTTTGCCGAGAGCTGACATGAGGACCCACCCCGTAGTGACAGATGCTTGGCACTCAAAGTATCTACATGAAAGACTGGGGAAAGATTCAGGAGTCAGAGTTCAGGCTGCCAGACCTTGTCAGCAGATCCGGTCGGTGTTCTTGTTCCTAGGCTCAAGGTCTGGTGGAAGAAAGATAGATTTTCCCTAAGAAATTCTTTAAGGCTATCCAAGTGTTTGCTTCTGAACCTCATTGTGGGCTTGTTTTCTCGCCTCTTTCTTTACTTTTTTTTTAAAACAACTTCTTCCTTTTTTATTTTTTAAAGATTTTTTTTATGTGTATGGGAGTTATATATATATATATACATACACACACACACACACACACACACATATATATATATATATATATATATGTATGTGTACCATGTATATGCAGTATCCATAGAGTCCAGAAGAGAATGTCAGTTCCCCTGGAGCCGGAGTTACAAATAGTTGTGAACCACCCTGTGGGTGCCGGGAATCAAACCTGGATCATATAGAAGGGCAGACAGTGCTCTTAACTGTTGAGCTACCTCTCCGGCCCTGATTTTCTGTATTTAAAAAATAATGCTTGCTTTGGCAGCACATATATTAAAACTGGAATGATACAGTGATTACCATGGCCCCTGTGCAAGAGTGACACACAAATTTGTGAAGAGTTCCATACTTAAAAAAAAAAAATCAAGCTAATATTGCAAACCAGATGCAGTGATAGACATATAGCCATGAGATGATAAAGGCATCTCACCGCAAACACATATGACAGTCCTGGCTGGGTAACTCGCTGTGTAACGGGACAGACAGACAGGTAGTTAGGTCAGTGCATCAGGTGACAGGCTCACCGATGACCCCCTGAGGAGTCATCAGGGCCTAGGCAAGAGTTCACAGGTATCAGTCTTGTGTTGCCTTGTGTGTTGTGATGTTGTCATTTAATGCCACTTGGGAGTGGCTGAGATGAGGTGGGCCGCCTGTCAGAACTGACCGTGTTGGGCATGCAGCAGGAACAGTGGGATGGGGAGCTCCACCCTTGCCAAAGGGATAGCTGGTTCTGGGGCACTGAGAGTAAAGTATTAAACTCAGGAAGCAGGAAGGTCCTCAGAGAGCAGATAGCACGCATAAAGCTCATACCTGAGAGCAAAATGTGATATACAGTAAAAGCCAGAATGACATGCTCAGTAAAAGTGCTGATTGGGCACCAAGTATTCCTGGCTTTACCTCCTGATTTCTATTGGTGACGGCTATCTTAAGGTATGGGTGTTTGGGAAGAGAAAAGGCTACTGTGTGGTGAAAGCACAGTGGAGTACAGATGTCAGAATCAAGACCCAAACTTCATCTGCTGAACCCTTTGTGAGTCTGCCACTTTGTATGTCGCAAGGTTTCAGACATAAGTCATAAAAGGAACTGAATCATTTAGGTTGGGATACCCAGGGGAAGTCGGCTGTAAGGGGAACTATAAAATAATAGGAGGTGATTAGTGACAAACACGGCAGTGACTTTGTGTACACCTGACATAGTGCAGGTGATGCAATGTAGTCACACCCCTGGAAGGTGCATTTAAATTAGCCTTGTCAAACTTTCCTGTTAACACTAGAGATACATTTCCTTCTGATGCTTAACCAGATGCTTGGAACGTGAATTATAGCCACTAGCCCACACAGTGGTTTTTTGGTCTCCACTTTCTGGTGGAATGGTTTTGTCCACTGGTTCTGGGTTCATGGCTCTCGGTCCACACAGCAAGATCATATACACATGGTGGCATCTCTTAGTCCACTGTTGTGGGATGTTTGTTTACACTGCGTGAGGATGTGTCATTGTGATTGGTTTAATAAAAAGCCGAATGGCCAATAACTAGGCAGGGGAGGTTATGGGGGACTTCTGGGCAGAGAGAGGAACTCAGAGGGTTAGTATTTAGACATGTGAGAGATGCTAGTGAGATGTGGAGCAAGTCAGATGTACAAAGTGGGAGAGAGGTAAAAGATACATGGTAGAACGTAGATTAATAGAAACAGGTTAATTTAGGTTATGAACTAGTTGGAAACAAGCCTAAGCTAAAGGCCAAGTTTTTTTACATAATGGGTAAATCTGCAGCCCACCTTATCATTCTGAACAGCTTTGGGTCATATTTTGTAGATAAGTTGGCAGCATTGCTGGCCCATGATGGAGTGATACCCAGCAGTTTCTCCAGCAGTGAGTTATGAGCATATTGTGGTGATAGATTGAAGCATGGCAGCTGAGGGTCCCACTTCAAGGAGCTGTGTTTTCCTAGAGAGTGGACTTGACCTGGACCTGGTCAGGGTGTCTTATGCCACTCTTTGGAAATTCTTTTCTTTATTAAAATATAAAGATTTTGAAAACCCTAAGTCCTTGGATCCTGGAGTGAAAATAACCATATATTTTTAAGTCTTGATTTTTAAATTCAATTAACCTTTAAAGTTCTATGTACAGTTTTTTTTTTTGTGTGTGTGTTCCATACCTAGACTGCCATCAATTTCTCTTGCATTCTCAATTGAAAATGAGTACAGTTTCTGGGATGTCCCTCGATCTTATTCTGAGAGGCCCCAGAAGGATTTGGCACACTGCTCTTATACAGAAATATTATCGAGTCTGGTAGGTGGATAAGACAAGTGGAGGAAATGATTGCAACCCAGGGGGATATTAAGTCGTACATTTTAGGTTTCAAATATGGGAAACAAATTATTTAAAAGGGGTTTTGGGTCATATGCTAGGATATTAGCTCTGAATGCTAAAAAATCAAATATATGAACAAAACTCAAGTTGACAAAGGCTAAGCTAAATGAAAAGACTATTTCTATATATCTCTTGAAAAGTCTCTAGGGATTGTCAAGTGCTAAGTAGCCAAGAACAGGGACTTACTTTTAAGCTGTGTGTTCTGGGTCCTGGAACAAAGCAGGTTCTCCCCTATAAAATATGTGGCCTTTCAGAGAAATGATGGAACATGTTACTTACAGAATTGAGTGTCCATCTCTTAGGGGCTTTATACACAGTAAGCGCTAGTGAACTACTGATTAGACACTTATACAAATTTATAATATGACCAGTATTTCTCAGTTCCCCTTCCCCTTTGTCCTAACTGTCTGGTGTTCATGCTCATCACCACCTTATTTTCTAAACTCTCAGCTCCCTCTCTCTCCTTAACATACTGTTTTTAACTTGATTTCCTCCCCGGAGCTCCCTGTTAAGAGTTTTATCGGGTCTGTTTCTCTTATGCCATCCTTCTCTACTTCTTACTAAAGTTGGAAGCTTTCAGTCTTTGTGTTACTGGCGTCTTGGAATGACTATTTCCTTGCTGGAGGAGCTAGCCTCTGTTTTGTAAGATGTTTAGGGCTATCCCTGGCTTCTACCCACAAAATGCCATCAGCATTCATCATAAGCCCAAGATTAATTTAATTAAAAATGTATTAGCATACAAAGATTTAGGTTTAATTATGAAAAATTTCAGCAACATCTGTTTTTCTTTCCTCCTCTCCCCATCACCTGTTCCTCCATGGTCCCTCTGACCTCAGTATTTCCCTTTCCACTTTTATGTTAAATGTCACCTTTTGTTACTCCTGCCCACTCTTTCCCCTTTCACAGTCTTGATCTAGGGTCATAGTCTACACCCACCCACACTCCTTTTTTTTTTAACATACCCACAAACATTAAAAGTATCCACCTATGAGAGAGAACATGTAGGTTTTGTTTTTCTGAGTCTGAGTGATCTCACTTCATGAGATACTTTACAGGTCCATTAATTTCTTTGCAAACTTCACAATTTCAATCTTCTTTACTGGTAAGTAAAATTCCATGGTGTACACATGCCACATTTTTGTTACTCGTTCTTCTGTTGATGAGCAACTGGACTGGTTCCATTTCCTTTGTATTGTGAATAGATAGGCAGTAAACATGGATGTTCAAGTAACACTATGGTTGGATGTGAACTCCTCTGTGTATGTGCCCAGAAAAAGGGCAGCTGAGTTATATGGTAGTTCTGGTTTTGATTTTGGAAGAGTCTTCATACTGACTTGTAGAGTGGCTTTACTCGTTTATATTCCCACCACAGTCACTCTTGCCCAGAAACTTGCCCACTATGCTATCATTACTCTCTTGATCATAGCCATTCTGACTAGGTGAGACAGAATCTCATAGCGGTTTTAATGTGCTTTTCCCTGATCCTACGCACATTTTTGTTTATGGCCAAAATTGTCTAGAGTATTTCTATACACACCTTGGAAAGCCACAATATCTCCACTTAAAAAGAATGAGTTACTCTATTTGAATACTTACTTAGCTTCAAATTCATTGTTTCTTTTTTTTTTTTTTTTTTTTTTTTTTTACGTTTTTCGAGACAGGGTTTCTCTGTGCAGCTTTGCGCCTTTCCTGGATCTCGCTCTGTAGACCAGGCTGGCCTCGAACTCACAAAGATCCGCCTGCCTCTGCCTCCCAAGTGCTGGGATTAAAGGCGTGCGCCACCACCGCCCGGCCAAATTCATTGTTTCTTAATTAGATGCTAGAAATCATTCATCAAAGCAAACAGCAGCTCCTCCAGTTGGCACAGGGTTTCACTGTGAGATGGATATACACTCCACATTTCATAGGACACATCATTCCTTGTTAGAAACCCCAGCCAGCCCTGTCCATTTCCTCCCCTGCTGCTTCAACTGAAGTGAGCATTAGCAGACCTGAGAGACCGCTAAGCTTTTGCTAATACACAGCTATGATTTTTTATGCTCTAGATTTGTGCAGTCCTGGAATTGAGAGTTAGAGGGGAGGGACAGAGAACAATGACAGTGAAGACACCAGTGTGATGGGGATAGAAGCTTTATTCTTGGTCAGAGCCAGGGACAGGCACTGCCACTCTACATTAAGGGTTGGGGCTGGGGGCCCTGGGCATCTGACAGGCAGAGAAGGGACTCCAGGAACCGACAAGACAAGACAGGCTGTGCTTTCCTTGGCCTTTGGGATTCCAGTTTCCTCCAAATTCTCTTGTCTCGGCCTCAAGATCCAGGTCAGCAGCAGCCTCCAGAGCTGTGGCCACAGCCTGAACCCCCAGACTGCTGGCCACTGCCACGGTCACAGGAACTGGAGCTCCTGCGCCTGCATCTGTGGGACCTGTGCCTGTGGTGGCTCAGGAAGCAGCCTCCCTCAGAGCTGGGGACACTGCAGCCCCCAGAGCTTGTAGCACAGCAGGAGGAGGCTGCAGGCAGACACTGTGCTGTGCTCTTTGGGGGGCACTTGGGGGAGGGGCACTTGGGGGGAGGCTGGCACTGCTTCTGGTTCTGCTGGCAGGACATCTTGGCAGGAGTCAGTCAGCCTGGGGAAGCAAAGAATACAGCTGTCAGTAATCTACAGTCCAGGGTCTCCTCATCTCTGCTCTTGTCTCCTTTCTGGGCCAAGAAATGCAAGAAGGAAAGCTGATGTGGATGGAATCCATTGGATCGTGCCAGGTGCCTCCCACTCTGTTCTCTACCCAGGCACTAGAAGCACAGGCCAAGTCTGCCTGGGAATTCAGCTTTTTGTATCTTTGAAGAATCCCCAGCAGATGTACCCGTTAGGGAAATGTGATCTGGACTAGGGGTATCATAGGAAGCAGTGTGAACACCTGAATGGAAAGGAGGTGAAGTGTGGGAAGTGGATGCTGAACTCCTGTTGCCTTTGTAGGTCACAGAGTTCTTGCTACCCTCCTATCCTTCAGGATTCTACCTTTTTGAATAATCACCTACTACAAACTCATTTTTTTTTTAATTGAATACTGGTAACTCCTTATTTTCCCTATTGTACTTTGTGTCTAGGTTCTTATGGAAGACCTTATCCCTTTTCTCTCTTTCCCTGCGATCATAATGTTCCCTTCTAACTTCTCATGCCAAGGCCCACCCTTGCTGGATACTCACTAGATGCGGAGGATGCAGGAGAAGTCTGTGTCTGAGGATGCTGTGGCAGAGGAGCCCAGGGCCAGAGCTCTTTTATCCTGTGCAATTGGTGATGTCACTTGGGTATGCCCCTGCTTTCACAACCAGAGGAGGTGTTACCTGAACGTATGTCCAGCGGTTTTTCTGGTACTTCCATGAAGTCCAACTAAGGACTGAACCAGGAAGTAGGAAGATTGTCCCTAGACCTCCCACTGGAGTCTCCTGGAAACTGCTCATCCCCTCCCTTCTTCCTACTTCCTTTTCTTTTTTCCTCTTTTGGGTCACATGCCTTGGAGTATTACTTCCCTTGGTATGATTATGAATGAGTTCTTTACAGGCGCACACACAATAGCTCACAAGAACAAATCTTAAATGATAAAATATTGTAATGTCCACAGACCCCATGTTGCCCAATAAACATGGGTAAATGTAATTCACAGCTGCCCCCTGAGCTCCAGCAGTGGGGTGCCTGGAAAGTGATCGGGAAGTGTGTGAAGCCTTGTTTGGTGACAGTCCCTTGATGACCTCATGGCTTCTAGTAGTAGAGGGTACTTTCTGAGCACTGAGAGGCAAAAGCAAGATTATAGATAAATAATCATACCACATAGGTGGAGATGTCTTCCGTGTGATGTTGTTAAACTCATGTGAGCTGAAATCTGACTGAAGTATTGTAATACCATGCTATGTTCAAAGAAAAACATAATTTGGGCTATAGTTAGCAACTTTAATAATTCATATACAATTTAAATACTTTGGTTATTACAATATCAGATCATATATTTGTGTTTTCTTACAGAGAAAAATATTTGTGGCTTAGAACTAACCTGTAAAATGCAGGTGATGAGCAGTATACACAGTTAGTTGTATCTTATAATTAATTATAGAACTAATCATAAAAAGCAGATGATGGGCAGTATACACAGTTGTATCTTATAAGTATATTGTTAATAAAAATATAGTAAATGTGTCTCATTATTTATGGCCATTAAAACCTATATGATAATTTAGACAATTATGTTTTTCTCTCCTCATTCTAACATTAACTGATGCTAATGTATTGTCTCCTTTCTGGGCCAAGATCTACAGGAAGGTGGGGAAAGCCGATGTGGATGAAATCCCTTGGATCATGCCAGGTGTCTCCCACTCTGTTCTCTACCCAGGCGCTAGAAGCACAGGCCAAGTTGGTGTGTGAATCCGGCTCTTTCTGTATTTGGAGAATACTTAGCAGATGCCCCTGTTTGGGGAAAGCAATCTAGAGTACAAGTGTTCTCCGTTGTTCTATGGCCCTTGTGGACAGGATTTGCAGTGACCCTTAGGAATGCAGGCCAGGATGAACACGGTGGAGGAGGCAGCAAGGGAAGGAATTTGCCTGCATCCTTTCCTCCTCAGAATGAGGTTCTTGGTGCCTGGTGCTTAGCTTTCTGTCTCAGCCTCATTGCAGCTTCAGGAGCCGTTTCTCTTACATGGTTGAGAGCCTGTAACTAGATCCTGGATGGGTAAGGGGTTTCGGATGAGTGGTGAAAGTACAGATGTTTTCCCATGAAGACTCAGTGATGAGGACACACAGAGAAGAGTGCAAAGTATGTCTCTGTTCTCAGCAGCTGTGCTGGGCAGAGCAAGCCTCAGACAAATGCCCCATGAGTGTGATTAGCTTCCTTCTTGATTTTCCTGAGAACTCTGAGTTTACAACTCATTTCCCAATGTAGTTCTTCAGGAGTGCCTTGCTATAGATCAGTGGTTTTCAATTTTCCTAATATTGTGACTTTTAATTCAGTTCCTCATGTTGTGGTGACCCCCAACCATAAAATTATTTTCATTCCTATTTCCTAACTGTAATTTTGCTACTGTTATGAATCACAATGTAAATATCTGTGTTTCCCATTGGTCTTAGGTGACCCCTCTGAAAAGGTTGTTTGACCTCCAAAAGGTTCATAACCCACAGGTTAAGAACTGCTAGTATAGATGAGCACCCAGGGAGCAAAGGTCAACCCAACAGAGGTGATGTTAACAGCATACTGGAGTATAGCCTGACCTCCTATGTGACTTTACACAAACCAGACCCACTCCTTCTTAATGACCATCATTGTCTCTTTTCCTTGAATTTCTTCTCACTTGGTCATTAACTCCCGATTCCTGACTTCAACTGTGTGTCAACTGTGTGCTTAGCACTGAGGACACAACTGTAAACTAGAGATTCAGCTTGTCTAACTGGCTCATTATAATCACTCAAAGGGAAATATACCAAATGATGGACTGCAGCTGCGGTGTACATAAAAGAGAAATTATACATTCTGTGGGGTATGTAAGAAGAGGTCTTAACTTCATTAGGGATTCAGCTCTTTGGATAAAATTGAATAGCTTTTCAATTTGACTTACTATTATATAGAAGCAACTATGGAGACTCCTCTTGGTTTAAACAGGGTTAATCTTGAGTCATGAGGCAGCAACTGAAGAGCAGGATTCAATGGCTGGTCAATCACAAGATTTCTGGGTGACTCAGCAGGAAGAAGAAAATCCTTAATTCTTCTGAGCCAGTTGGGCATTGAAGCCATGAGCTGGGGCAGGAGAGGCAGAGCCTGGTGGGCTGTGTCACCAGGGCTGCCTAACTGGCTTCCGTGACCATGTGACACACCCCTTTGTAGATAGATTCTAAGCGATCGGTGGGGTCTGTTTATTACTGCTTGAATTGTTGGTTCTTCTTAGCTGCTTTGATTTAGGCAGAGACAGTTATTGTGATCTCACCTTCAGCATCATGTTACAAATACATTCCAGAAGACATTCATAGTTTCCAAAAATATACTTCTGTATAAGTGTAGAAAAATTCAGACATGACATCAGTTCTAGGGAAATATGTGAAGTTAGCTAAGACAGGACCTCACATCAAAATAAAGGGAAGCTAAAAACATCCCCCTAGAAATGGAGAAGTAACTTAACAAAACTCAGTAGCGACCCATAGTTAAAAACTTCAAATAAATATCAAAAAGGAGCATATTTCATTTGAAAAAGGGAGTTAGCCAAGTCTTATGACTAACATGCTGGGTAGTGAGAATGGGCCCTTGGTTCCTAAGACAGGGAGCAGCTCAGATGTTTAGTGTCCAAAGTTAGATGTCTGTGATGTTTAGTGTCCAAAGCTAGACCCAGAATATGTTTCAAACAAAGACACAATGGCAGTTTGCTGGAGGAAGGACATGTCAGAATGGATGGAGGAATTTTTCCTAAGACCCCACCCATGGAAGAAGAGCCACAGGCAGTCAGTGGCTGCTGAGGAAGGGAAAATCAGTTTTTTTTTGTTTTGTTTTTCTGTTACCCCTTTTTCTCCCTGAGGGCTGAGACCTCAATCCTAAGCAGTCATCTCTAAATGCCTGCAAATCAAGGCAACATGAGTTGTACTCAGTAGGTTGTGTGTGAGGGTGGGGAGGTGGGAGTGATGTGTGAATATATGAATACAATGAGGTCATAAATTTGAGAGAAGAAGCTCATAGTGGGGACATGGGAGGAATTAGAAGTGGGTGTGGGAAGGATTCACATGCAGGAAACACACTGTTTGCATGTATAAAATCCTCAAATAAAATAAATAAAAAATTTTAAAAAATAGTGCTAAAACAATTGGGCATCTATATGTTAAGCAAAACATATTTAGTACTATACACACACACATACATACACACACACACACACACACACACACACACACACACACACACACACGAAAGCCATGGATAGTAGATCATTGTGTAAAACACAGAATAAACACTTCTAAAATACAATATAGGACACAATTTTGTGACTTTGTTTATGTAATTTTCAAAAGGAAAATACTGAATTAGAACGACTGAGGTAGTGGCACATGATTGAACATGCCTGTAGTGGTACATGACTAATTTCAGTCCTGGGGAGACTGAAGCAGCAGGATCATACTTTTGAAGCCACCTTAGGTTACGATGAGACAGATACAAAGAACAAACTAAAGTAAAGAACTAAAACTTCTGCTGCGCAAGTGACTGAATTCACAATTAAAATCCACAGACTCAGAGAAAAAATTTGCAAAGCACAAGTCTGATTGAAGGTTTGTGTCTAGAATATTCTAAAAGCAATAAAATCCATGAATAAGTGGAAAGTCTGATTAAAATGGGAAATATTTAAAGAGACTGATATTTCAACAAAGATACATGGGTGACAAATTAGCTTAGTGCATTACTCATTAGGGAAATGCAATTAAGAGCAAAGTGACAGACTACCTGCACACACTTCACCAGCTAAAATAAAGCTCTTACCTGGCAGTTTGGAATCCTGTCTAGGCTGGGGAGCGGCTCAGCTCAGCCACTGCTGACAGGAAGACAAATTTACAACCATGTTGGAAGTTTCTTAGAAGTATCCTTAACAATTAAACATGTTACTA